ATCTTCTCGTGTTGAAAATCTCTCACTCTTTCGCTGCGCTCACTCGTGAGAGATCTTTTCAACACTCGGAGATAAAATTCGTATCTCCGCGCGACCATGTAATATCCTCTATTTATTGTTCAATATTCCTCCGATTCTAAAGCTCAATAAACAGCTTTCACGGGAAATTAAAATAAAATAAGAACAGCAATCGGTGAAAATTTAGACATTTTWAAAATACAAATATTAGAGTCGTTATTGGTATTCTCACATTCGTTTTGCCAAGAAAAAGTTGAACATAGCCTTCCCCGATTTTCTTGGGTGACCACGAAACAATGTTTCCAAGTYGAGGATGGACTTGATAARATACAGTTAATGTATKAACASATCAARTACAACCTCCACTTGCAGCGACGACAGTTTTGTGAACACTCGAGCGAATTCGGTAAAAGGCCTATTGGTTTAAAAGTGAAAATTTGACAAACATATTTTTGATTTAAGATTTGGAATTTCCTGGTAAAAAAAAAACAAAGAGGTTTTCGTACAAAATCTGGCTTGAATAATTGAGCCAATCAAAATGCTAGGAAATAACCCACTAATCTAAGCTTGAAAATGACTAGCGGCTATTCAACACTTCCACCGCACACTGGTTTGACTTCTGCTGTTATAATCATAAAAACGTATTATATATAATCATCTTAATTGAGAGAAGCGTTTGAAATAGCAGCCTACCATTGGCCAAGAGTATTTCAAGAATTAATTTCAAATAATCCCAAGAAAGATAAGACAAAAACATGGCGGCCATCGCGGTGCGGTTAACAATGCATGCTAATAAATGAGAATTTAGTCAAACGACACCAAAATGGGCGGGATGATGTAACGTGCAATAGAAGAATTTCAGCAGCGCTGCAAGGATAATCAAGACGGCATACAGTTAGGACTTAAATTTTGACTACATATTTCTTACGAAAGACTATCTGCGCTAGCGAAAAGTAAGTCTTACGAAAAGCATTGCAAACTTCCACAACGACAAATAAAATGACAATTGAAACTTGACTGAAAAATTTATTGCATTTTTGCAATCATTCCCAAGAGATTAAAAAATAACAAAAGGCATGGCAACCATGTTGGATGATACAACAAGAGACAAATGATCAATCTTTTAACTTCATCCAACATGGCGGCTGTGAAAACCAGCGATTATTYTTGGATCAAAGAACAAAAACTGACTGAGGATTCTTTCTATTTCGATTCCAGGTGAGAATATTTTTGCTAGTTTCATAAATCCACGTGGATATGCATAAGTAGAAGTTGTGTTATTTACAAGGTCGTCATCGCTTAACAAGTTATCAAAAAACATGAATTTGAGTGGTTTTCATGAACCCGTGAAACAATAACTAGAATAACTAGGGTAACTAGMATTACACAGAGTAATTTTCATCTAGGCCCTTTCTAGATTGAATTAGAATATAATTTTTGCGGAGGGAGGAAACAGGAGAACCCGGAAGGAAAACCCTCGAAGCACAGGMGAGAACCAACAAACAACACACTACTCACATACGACACCAAGCCGAGGGGGTACTAGAACCTGGGTCGCATTGGTGAGAGGCGCTACCCCACCCATGCTTACCAAAGTGTACTAATTAGAGTGTAATAATTGGATAAACACAATAGAAAACAAAAGAATTAGAGCGTAATAGCACTAAATAAGCTWAAGTGTATTTCACRGATTTATCAAAACCACTCGTATGCTAAACTTGTTAAATACTAATAAAACAAACATGAAAAGAATATTGTCACTAAGGCACTTGCATTTCGTACTAAAAATTTTCTATTAAATCTAAATCCCAAAAATCACTCGTTCTTTATGCAGTAATTTAGACAAGTCTCATTCTATCTTCATCAGGCTTTCACTGCAATGTCACTTTTCACTTCTACACGTCACAATTCATTCAAGATGTAACAAGATATTTACAAAAAAAAAAAAACTTTAGCGAGTGTAGTAGCTTAAGGTATCGACGCTTTACTGGTGAGGACAAAAAAGGGAATCTAGTAGCCATAACTACCGGAGTATCCTCCACCCTGCGGATATGTRCCCTGCTGTTGGTAGTACGCTGGGTATTGCTGCTGGTAGGTGGAAGTAGCAGCTGCCTGTGTGCCAGTCTGTTGCGGCTGCTGTCCATACTGTTGATAGTTTTGATAGTATTGGCTGTAGTTGCTGTACGCTCCTTGTGTYTGCGGGGTGGCGGCTGGTTGCCGAGGAGTCTGTTGTTGTACACTATAATTGTACTGCTGCTGTTGCTGCTGTGGCTGTTTGTGTGACTGGTTACCGTAGCCACCACCACTGCCGTAGCTTCCTCCACCTCCATAGCTCTTCCCACCGCCATAACCTTTGTTACCGCCATATCCACCRCCATAGCTCCTTTTATCCTGATATCCTCCTCCTTGATAGCCTCCTCTCCCTCCTCCTTGATAGCCTCCTCTCCCTCCTCCACCTTGATATCCTCCTCTCCCTCCTCGGTAGTTATCCCTATATCCTCCACGGCCACCACGCCCATACTGAGGAGACCCCCCTCTTCTATTCTGAGGGGAACCACGAAAGCCACCACCTCGTCTGTTGTCATTATACCGATAGTCTCTGGGTGAACCGCCCCATCCACCACCACCACCACCGTAATAACCACCACCGCCCCCGCCACCGTGTCCTCCATAGCGGGGTCGATCGTGATAGCGGGGTCGTTTATTTTCAGGCTCGCCACTACCACTTCCACTGAAGGTGCGTCGTCGTTGGTAGTTRCCGTCTTTAACGTATTCTGTTATGATTTTTCTAGACGTTTCTTCATCCTGGTCCACGTAGGTTATCTCATCAAACACCTCGCCAACCTTGGGGATCGAGAAACTTCCTGAAATAATAGAGAATATATAGCATGTTTACTCCACTTATCTTACAGCAATGTCCTTTATTACTGTGAAGA